CCCGCCCCTTAGCTGTGTTGTTCTTCCCTTCTCTATTGATTTACCCCTCAGGCAGAAATCTCTGTGTGTGGGTGGATGAGAGCACGAACCTGGAGAATGCCTTGTCAGAGCTGGGAGAGAGCTGCGTGCAGCTCCCAGACAGAGGGTTTTTCTCCCTCTGTGTCTGTGAGTGCCTCTCTGAGAATAAGCCTGGTGCAGAGTGGGCCTGACTGCCTGGTTGTGGGAGTGTTTTTCTGCTTGTTAGTGTGCCAGTGTCTGTGCCCGCATACGCAGCTCTTGAGGGGGTAGTTTGCATCTCAACAAGCACACGTTTGTGTGTGTCTATGTCCTGTACATGCAGATTTCTCTTGCACCACACATGTTCATCAGAGCCCGTGTGTCTGCACATTTTGGCTTTCTCCTCATGTCTCCTATAAGCCTACATGCTTCTATGTATCCTGGGAGTGGCTGTGAGCCTATGTGGTGCCTGTCCCACAGTACAGACAGGAATGAGTGTGTATGTGTGTACTGTGCAGGAGGTTTTCTTCCTATATTTCAGTCTGCCCCACTGAAGGGTGCCTGTCATGATGCGCTCTTGCTGAGGGGAATTAGTGCAATGCCAGGAAGATTTCCACATTCCTTTGGTTCTCTGAGCTGGTGAGTGGGGAGAGGTAAGAGGGTAGCTTCTTCATGAAAGGATGCCATACTTCCATGATTAACCCAAATTCAGGGATCTTTGTCAAGGCTCAAGGAGTGAGTTTGCTCAGGCAGTTCCCTGGGGTGAGGAAAGGATAGGATGAGATGTCAGAGCACGTGAACGCATGATATGCACAGGCACAGACTGTGACACTGTCAGGTGGTGAAGGATGTGGGTGAGCAACATATGTCTAGCTATAAGGGGATCAGCATTCAGGAGAATGGCCTGCTCCTTACAGGGGCCTCATGGGTATATAAAAAAGTAGACAGGCTTGAAATAGTTCTGCTTATTCTGTAACATCACTAAGAAAATATCCTGGGCAGTGTGGCATCCGCAGGGAAAGTGGCTGGGAGAACAAGTCAGGCCATTAAAATTACAAACGGGAGAGCTGCAAGATCTGATATTGAAAAACCCAGGCCTTCTTCAGGGAAAAGCAACAGTGCACCTTTGGTATTATCACACAGATCTCCTGGTTCACCTTTGAAGAGCACAGGCAAAGTTCTCTGCTAAGAGCAAATGTCATATGGCCAGGGCTAAAGTCAAGCTAAGCAACAGAGATTCATAAAATGCACCTCCACCTGCACACTTTGGTATTTGGCAAGGGTCAGTACGGCATACACAACATGAGGATGATCTCAGCCACACTGGTGTGACTCCAAAGCCACTGGACTGAGTCTGGATTCACTCCAGAGGAGCTGGAAACCGCACGTGGCCAGAAAAATGCAGCTCACGCACTGCCATGGACACTTCAGTGGAGATGGCACATGCAATGCAAGAGCATGTAGGATAAAACAGTCCAGCTGTGACAGTCTTCCTGCACTGCCTAGACTATAACTCAAATATACATGCACATGCTATTCTTCCACTAACAGCAGCCTTTCATCAGTTTTTCCCTGGATTCAATTTGTTCTCCAGAAAATCCTGATAGCAATACAGCATCTCTGCCACTGAACACCTGCAGATGTATCCCATGCACTGCAGCATGCGGCTTTTACCCAGATGCGCAGCAGACAACTCCCCTTCCATCTCTCCTGAGTCTGATCCCTGCTATTTTCTTCAGCGTTGCAGGGGTGTTAAGCACGGCCAGCAAATGCTGCGGGATTCCTCACGTCCTGCTGGTTTTCCCTCTGCCCACGCAGCCAGCTGCCCACACACACTGAGTTATTACAGCAGCGCTGCATAATGAAGCACTCTCCGTTCCAGGGATTCCACCCCCTCACTGTGGAGTGGGGATGGGGAAAGTGCCACGGCAGCACAGCGTCGATGTGTTCCCAGGGGCCTGCTCTGAGCCAGAGCGCTGCTTGCTGAAAAAGCAACTCAAGGCTGAATAGACTATGGCAGATGGTCCTAGCAACTGGAGGCTTTCCGCTCTTGGTCCAGGAGAGCGGTCAACAAAAAGGATGTGCGCACAGGCATGTATGGCCTCAGCTCCGTGCCCTGTGGGTTGGTGCCCACATCACAAACCCTACAATGGTATACTGGCTCCTTGCTAGAAATTAGCAGGGAAACCAACGATCAAATAACTGCAGAAAGCTGAATGGCCTTCCCAGCCCTTTGGATTGAGGTACACTACAGTGTCACAAGGGGAGCCATGTGTCCCTTAGATCCCACTCAGACAATAAACAAAAGGCTTCACTCCCCAGAGCTAACAGGTCAGTTCACTCCCTCCCTGTCTTCCAATGTTTTGTCAAGAAAACTGAGCCTTACAGGTTACCGCACATTCTTTCAGTAGCTAGTTTCAAGGGAACAGGGGAGGCCTGGCTAGGAAGTTGTGTTTCAGAGCTCCACAGTAAGTCTTCTGTCCCAGAGGGACCTGCAAGATGCAGTGAACCCAAGTCACTGACTGAAGGAGGATGGCAGAGGTGCTTCCCCAAAACAGACCTGGTGCTGCTGATCTGTCACATGAACGTGTGCCAGGCTGATTTGGGGAGGAGGAAAGGTTGGGAAAAAGCATTTTTGCTCCTGCTTTATCTTCACATCAATGCTTATGTCAACTGTGCAGGAACCAAAGGAAAACACATTGGGTGGAGGGACTCCTGCCAAGCACCGCTGAGAATACTGAAACAGTAGCAGAGATGTGAGCCCCACGTCCCCCTCCAGAAGTACACTTATCCCAACACAAACACCAGAACGTCTGTGTGGACCTGGAACTCTCTTGATCATAATCAACGCCCACCTATGTCTGGTGCCTACCTTCTCTTGTTCCAGCCTGCTTGTGTTCATCAGGCAAATCTGTGTGCACCAGAGCCTGACTTTGATATATATGCATGGACTCACCTGTTCACAACCTAATCTCAGAGCTAGTAAAATGTCCTCCTCAGTTCTGCAAGAGTCCCAAATCTGTCTGCTCTAACAGCACTTCAGTTCTGGATGTGCTGTGAGCCCAGCCCTAAAAATGCCTCTTCTGGGTTCCTGCCTCCTGGAGTCCACAGCCTCCATACTACACATATATAAATCCCATGCACTGCCCCCCTGTCTGTGCAAAACTTCTGCGTAGGACTGCGTAATCTTTAGTCCTCTCTCTGACCAAAACGCCCATGCTAATGTGTGGCAAAACATTCTTCTAGTATGGGTGCATTAAGTCCCCAGCACCTTCATCAGGGGACTCAAATGGAAACCAAGACAGCATAAGATGAGAGTGTGATGATGGAGCAAACCCCAATATTTCTTGTGGCTTGCTTTGATGAGAAAAGTCTCATCAAAAGGCAACGAGCAAATCTAAAGCTCCTTATAGGAGCTCAGCTGCTTTCTGCCAATCCAAAATAGACTGTGTGACCCCTCAAGTTAACCTCTTCTGACGGTAATCTCTGGGCTGCTCTGCTTTTGCTGTCACACCTACTGCACTTCCATAGGATATCAGACTCAGTGTGAGACTGAGATGACTAAACCTGGTCTGTCAGGTGAAAATCTACCCAAATACCAGAAGGAAAATGACAGCCAGACCACTCATACTGGGCTAGCTAAGCTCAGCTCTACCTCTGTCTCTCTTACTTGGAAGTGCCTCATGTTAAGTAACCAGGGCTGGGTTTACATCCCCAGCTACGCTTGTTCCTTTGCAACAGAGTGAAGCAGGAGCCTAGATCCCAGGCTGAGCTGGTGGATGCCAAATGGACAGAAACTGGGACTGAAGGTTCAGAATTCAGGAGAGTATGGACACTACTCATGGGGCATCGGGCTTCTTCCTCTGTTGGGCAGAAGATCAGGTCAGCACTTGGGGGAAAAAGCTTCTGGGCAGCCAACCTGTGGTCTGCATTGCATACCCTGAGGGTCATGCCCTTGAATACGAAAGAACTTCTCCGGAGATGGATGTAGACCAAAAGCCTGCCATCTCCTGTTCCTGTGAGGCATGGAATAGACTGAGAAACACGAAAGAGGAAGAGCCACTTACATATTAAAGAGGTTCAGCCCAATGCGGTAGAGGCGCTTCCTCATGGTGTCTGTGGAAAGTGTGGGGGACTTGCAGCTAGCTGGGTTCTCGCAGTGGTACCTTGGGAGGCTGAGGATCATGGCCTGCAGTGCTTCTTTCGAGGACACCTCAGAGGCTGACTTGGCTGAAGTGGAGGTGCTGCTGCTGCTCAGCTGCTCCGAGTTGTCTGCATTCTCAGACTCAGAGCCTTTGCTTTGCCCCGTCTCATTGCTAGCATCAAACTGGAGCTTCTGCACTGCCATCTGCCCAGGCTCAGCACTGCTCTCTCCCGTGCCATTAGTGCTGACATTCACCTCGGTGAAAGTGTGGCTGTTCTGGACAGCTGTGGACTCAGGTAAGCTCTCTGGGGCAGCCGGTGGTTCACTGGCTTCTCCCTCCCCTTCTCCTGGGCTTTCTTCAGCCTTGGTAGCTTGAGAGAGCTCAGCCTGGGCATTGCTGCTGAGGCAGTTTGCCATGGACACCGAGGTAGACGATGAGACAGAGATATTCTTGTTGTCAATCTGGACTGTGACGTCTCGAAAAGCCATCATGAGAGTGCTGCTGCTCTTGGGTAGGGTATCTGGCAGGAGCCCTTCCTCCTTCTCCTTGTCCTGCAGCTCAGTTTCTAAGTCTTGGTTTGGCTGCATTGAACTGGCACTGAAGGTCTCCCTTATCTGGTATGAGCCCCCATCTTGCAGTGAGCACATGGTCTTCAGGCTCCAGGTGCTGAGGGCATCATCAATAGACTTGGCCAGGGACTGAACTTGTTCTGTGAAGGAATCCTCCAGCTCGGTCAGTGCACCGCTGATGGTGGCTGGCAAAGATGGGGACCTCACCAATGGGATGCCCACAAAGTTGTACCCCTCCACCAGAGCTTTCTCAGCAGAGAAGCTCTCTGAGTTCTGGACCCGGACTTTCCTCAGAGAGATGCGGCGTGGCATGCGGCTCTCCAGCAGTGAGTTGCGGATCTTCTCAAAGTTCTTGCTGAGCTGGTACTGCCGGAAAGCAGTCTGGATGGTGCAGGCTGCCCTGCGAGATACCAGGTGACCTCCGTATTTGTGCTCTAGCATTTCGATCTGAAAGACATACAAACAAGAGAGGTTATTTTTTGTTAATTGACTTCTAATGGCTTTCTGTGACCCCAGTTCCTACACTGATTAGTCTGTAATGACTGTCAGAGGAACTTCTAAACACTGAATTAGCTTTTTCCTGCACTGCCATGCCCTTCATTTCAACTGAAGGCCCCCCTTTGGGCATGGCTGGTTAAAGCATCAGTACTGTGAGCTTCCTTAGAGCTGTAATATGATCATTCCTCTTTCAAGAGTGCCAGCCATACAAGCTGGAGCCTGGAGGTGCCCTTCCCTTGCAGACCTACTTCTGATGGCCTTTAGGGCAAGCTCATCACTGCAAATAGTGTTCCAGCAACGTGTCTTCCTGCTCAGCAGTGCTCTGGTAATGTCAAGCATCATCCCTTGTCTCAGAGTGTTACTAATGCTCCTCCCGTCAGTAGTCACCTTAGGAAATACTCTCAGGGTAAGGAGAAACCATTCAGAAAAAGGAAAGAAAAGCTAATTTTTAAATGCAGAAAATGCTGCCTTGATCATAGGAGCTAGTGAGAAACATCAGTTTCCACAGAAGTTAGTGGAGGCTGGGTTTGTTCAGTGACTTTTAAAAAGCACTCTGAATCCCGAAGTGTCTTCCTTTCTGATATCTGAGTTTTTCAGGTGTCAGCCAGCAGTGAAATGAAAACTACCCAAGAAAAGAAAGACTCTCAGTTTTGAAACGTAAAAAATTCTGATTTTAAATGTTGAGACAAGATATTAAGAACAAGTAACAGGAGGATTTACTCCTTCCTGAGCTGGTAACAACACACACACATGTAAATACATACACACACAGCTAAGTGGCATCTCAACAGGCTTCTACAAAGCAAGTATGTATGGTAATTTCTCTTCTGTAGTCTAGTATTTATACTTCCTGGTAATCCCCTCACTCTTCCTCTGCAGCTGGGCCTTCACTACCATGCTACAGGAGGATGTTAGATGACTTGGTTCCAGTGAGTGACTGACAGAGGACAAGGGGGACGGTGTGAAGATGATGGTCGATGATGGCATTGAAGAAAAAAGAAGGATGAACTAGAATTACCTTCACTGAGGTTTTGGCTGAACTATGAGCTAAACTCTACATTGTCAGCTCTTCATAGGGCAGAGCGCAGGTGCAGACTGTAGTGTTTATATCTGTGTGTGCACATGTCAAAAAGCCAAAAAAAGGTGAAGTGCAGGACTGGGAGTGCTGGTAAAATCAGGCCTGAATTAACAGAGGATTCACTACATCATTCATGTGGTGAGTATGAGCTCATTAGCAGATCCAAAGGATGAGTTTTACTGACTGCATCCTTATCCCCAGACAGATACCACTTGCCCCTCACCACACCTTGCTGGCCCAGTACTCACAAGATGAAGGACTGAGCTCACAGAAGATCTGAGTTTAAGTGAAAACTGTTGTTGTAAACAAAGCGAGACTGAGGCATGAGCCTCAGCTCGCAGAGTCATGTTATGTCATCTGCTTCCTTCTTCTTTTCCTTGTTTGTTACACTACGTAATTTGCAGATAAAACCATCAGTGAGTGATCTCGGTACAAGTGAAGGCCTGGAATGACAGCTGTGAGAAGTGTAAACCACCTCTGACACCTTTCCAATACTAAGTCCTCTGGAAGTAGGGGAAGATGATATGACCTTGGGAGATGACAGGAAAAGAGGAACAGCATGACTCTAGCCATTCTGTCCCTGCACTGGTATCCTGGCTACTGGAGTAAGTACTGAAGGCCTTGCTCACTGGCACCCCATCACCCCAAGCAGCAACAGGTCTAGGGATCCTGCTGCACTGGATGAGAGGCTGCCATTTCTGGAAGGGATCGGGGGGACACACATCCTTTCGTATTTCCCTCGCTGGAAATGAAGCAGGGACCCTTTGCCTTGTGCTCAAGCATAAGGTAGGCTTCTGTTTTTTGTTTGCCTTGCCCTTGAATTCACATCTGTCCAAAGCAAGCATCCAAGCTCAGCACTGAGGAATACTAGCAATTTGTTTAGCAATGGGGTTGGCCACTGCAGCTGTAGAGGCAGCTGACTCAGAGTTCTGCTTACCCCTAGTTTAAAAAATATTGCCCTAATACTTGCCTTGCTGCCCTCCCAGAAAGGGTCTCCAGAACTGGTGCTAAAAATCACCCACACAATGATCATGGATTTAGGTTCATTTACCACAAGACCTGCCAGCAGGCTTTTTGGATAAACAAGGTCTCCGAGTTTGATGTGGCAGGAGAGAGGAATACAGACAAGAAGAGATTCAGGGTAGCAAGCAGAAGGGTTTTGTTGGGGTTCTTTGTCATTCTTTCCAAAATGACCATCTTAAATCCCACCATAAAACCAGCACTTCTTCCACATTTCTGCAAAGCTGGCCTCCCTGGAAAGAGACTGAGTTATCCTTGGCCCTTCCCTTCAGGAGGAAGGCTCATGCAGATAAACGCAAATTAAACCAATAACCTGCACAGGCCCGATGCAGACAGTTACTACTGACAACTGACCATGAGCACTTAATATAACGAACGGTCTGGTTAATCAAAATGTAGAGCTAATTGTGTTGGGAGGGAAAG